TCAAATCCAATCTTCAAGTACTCGGCAGGCCCCATGACTAGGTTCTCAGAACACTTCGAAGCTGCTGGACGCTGGCTGAGCTCAGGGAAGGCAGGTGTCTCAAGTGGTTTCCAGGAGACTCAGTTTCTCTCCCTGGAGCTCAGAGCCTGAAGGAATGGAAGAGGAAAGACAACGTAGGGCAGGGGATTGTGAACCTCAAGAACAGGGATGAAGAGACTTGGAAGGCCTTGGAAACTTGGTCAGTGGCACAGAAAGCCTCTGTGGTCCCTCCAAGGGCTTCCACTCTTCAGTCTGCTTAAGACAAGTGATACATTTGTCCCACCCTGGGTCCTGCACTGAGTGCCTATGGGCCTTCCAGGCCCAGCAGCAAGGCACCATACTTCCTTGCTTCAAAGAGGCCCAGGGAGTAGGGCAGCCAGACTTAGCAAATACAAACACAAGATATCCAGGTAAATTTGAATTTATGATGAACCACAAATATCATGTTGGCCTAAGTAGGTCTAGCATGGCCAGGCATGGCCAGGCGAACAGGTGAGCACAGCTTGAGTGATAGGGCCCCTTGTGGTTGAAGGCGCCTCCCTGAGGGACTCCAGTATATATCAGATGCCTGTCTCAGGCACAGTAGCAGCCCCTGAGAGCCCTGCTTTCCTCAGTTCCTGCAGTGGGAAGGGTATCCATTGCCCTGTGCTGCCCTTCCCTGGCCTGTCAGAGGAGACCGGAGAAGGCCCAGGGTGGGTGTTCCATGAGGAATGGGTGGGGTAGTAGCACTTGCTTGGAAGGTGACCAAAACTGAGACTTCCTGGGGGGAGCAGAGGCTGTGTCATTGCTGATAGGGCAAATATGGGGGCTCTCATCTTCACAGGAGGGTTGAGATCTAGTGTCATGGTTATTAGGAAGTTTTCATGGGGAGGAGATCCGCTGGGTGAGAGCCAGGCATGGCTACTGTCTTAAAGGGGAGCTCTGATGTAAACAGTGAGTAGAATATGGGGGTCCCTTACCCCAGAAGCTGGGAAAACCCCTCAACAAGCCACCTGTCCTGAGAGCACAGGGTAGCAGAAGACGAATGTCTCCATCCTCACCCCAGCCTGTAGTTGTCTGTTCCGGGTTCCTCCTAACAGAGTGGGGACTCTGGGACTTGTGCTCCCAGGAGATGGTGACAGCCTGTGGCTTCTGTTCCACACTGGTGAGGATACCCTTTCTGGGGGCCAGGGGAACCTGAGAGCAGGGCTTCCATTCCAGGACATTTCTGAAGCAACACAATCGACGTGTGCACAACCCTCCTCCAGCCTGGTTAGCCCCATGGGCACGGAGGCCCGCCGACTGTCTTTCACATTTGCTGTCCTGTTTCTTCTGTGTCTCTCGCCAGACCAGGCATGAGCCTCCTTCATCCCAAGAGCCTTGGCTCAGGGACTGGTTTCACAAGAAAAGCACTGGTGAATGAATGAATAAACAGTAGTGGAAAGCTTTATGTCTAGGACAGGTGGTCTGTTGTTGATAATCATCCCTGATTATCTTATTATACAATAAGTGGATATTATCTTAATCTAACAAAAAGTTCTGAGGTAGACACCAGGATCCCATTTTCCAGATAGAGAAACTGAAGCTGAGGTGGACAGGAAGTGGAGGAGCTAGGCATGGCTCTCAGGCAACTTGGCCCATACGTTGCTCTTACCCACTCACTGCAGGTGCCTGTCCTCCTCCTCTTGGTCTCTAGATGCCAAGCTGTACCAGGATGGTCTGGTACATCCCCTACTTCCAGGTGCCCTTGTCTCCATTGGACTTGGTGAGCTGGCAGGCCCTGTGTCTGTATAGGCCTTGATGCTGGACACCAGGCAGTCTGCACCCCTGGTCTCTGTCCTGGCTTCCCTCTACTATGGGCCTGGGTGCTGGACCTGATCTCTCCTCTCCCTTCCCCTCAGGGCTCTGCCCTGGGATTCTCTCCATCACAACCATCAGGAGCCCCAGCCATGCTGACCAACCCTCTGAAGCCCCGAGGCCAACAGGGGACTCCTGTCACTGAAGTTGCCCAGAATTTTTGGACTGTGGACCTCAGCTGTGCCTGGGGCCTTCCTCCTTACCCTTATCCTCGACCTGCTCTATTTACCCCTGCCACCACTAGCAGCAGACTCAGCTTCTGACCCCTCAGGAGCCTACAGCATCTGCGAGGGCCTGAGGGTGTCTATGCTTGCTCCTGAGTTTGGGTGCAGAGCAGCTTCCCTCGTCTACATAATGTGAGCTAGTCCTAGAGGACCACACCTGGGGTTCTGGTGAAATGCTTCAGTGGCACTAGAAAAGAGGCTACTCCTATGTGGTCACTAAGTCTTTTCTGGCATTCACACCAGAGCAGCCTGACAGTCAGCCTATGTCTTGCAGTCTTCAGCCTCCTCTGTGGGACCCTCACTCACTGCAGCTCATCCCTGCTCTCACTGATATCTCCAGTGAATCCCAGTTCCTGACAATGACCACAGGCTGCTGATATTATCCCCTGCCACATCCTGGGCCCTGGGCACAACAGTTCACAGTCTTCTCTCGTCTCTTCCCACATCTTCACTCCATTTTGTTTCACCCTACCCATGAGAGGTCTTCTGTGGGGATCTGCCATTGCTCAGAGATGTTTTTCTCTCCCAGGACCAGCAGCTCTGACATGTCTGTCATCTCAGCTCATCTATTCATCCACATGTTCATTTACTCAGCCAACTCTTGTGGGGCATTTTCTAGGAGCTGCAGCTCCATGCAGTGGGTAACCTCCTTCTGCTGCCCTCACTCCTGCTCATCACCAGGCTCTACTCCCCACGGCCCTGGAGCAACAGCTTCTCAGCCTCCACCTTGCCTTGTCTCTTTGCCCATTTGTTCTTTCTGCCTCCAGCCTGACATACCCTATGCCTTTGTCGATGCTCTTCCCCTCTTCCCACAATCCGCTCCTCTCTGCTTATAATCTTGCTTCTTAGCCTTCCTAGGGAGTGGTGCTCTCTGTTCCATCTTGATGGGACCAGGTACTGAATGACCTTTCAGGTCTTGTTTGAGGATCACATCCTTTAGTCAGTGTTATGGGCTCAACTATGTCCCTGAAATATTCCTATGTTGAAATCCTAACCCCCTGGTACCTCAGAATGTGACTAAAATGAGGCCATCAGGGTGGATCCTCATCCCTTATGACTGGCACTCTCGTAAGAAGAGTAGATTGGGATATAGACACGCACAGAAGGAAGACCATGTGAAGACTCAGTGAGAAGATGGCTATCTGAAAGTCAAGAAGAGATGACTCAGGAGAAAACAGTCTTGCTGATACTTTTATCTTGAGTTTCCAGCCTCCAGAACTGTGAAGAAATAAAATTCTGTTGCTTAAGCCTCCCAGGCTGTTGCGCTATTATGGCAGCCCAAGCAGTGATAAAGCCGAATGTCGTCTCTACCTTCCCTGGGGCCTGAGATGTCTATCTCAGCCTTCCCACCTCATGTCATATTCCTTGCACAGATGTCTTAGTGCCAGGACTTCAGCAACAAGACTGAACACTGTCTCCCCATTTTCCCCGTGATATGGAGGAAAGAGAGGTGAAAAGCCTTGAATGAATGAAGACAGCCTTTTGGCTTGCAGACCTTTTCAGCCCTGAATAATGCTATGAATTGTGTTTTGAAAAATGACAACAGGCCTAGTCTTAATATTTATGACTCCTCTTCTTAGCTTTCCTAGAGAGTGATGCTCTCTGCTCTAAAATTTATGGTCCTCCGGTGCAGTCCCAGACCAACTAGGGGATTGCAGATGGGCTGTCTGCTAATAGCTCATGCAGGCTGTGTGGGAGGTAGCGTGATCCTTGGCCTTAGGGTCAGACATGAGCCCTTCTCACCCAGGGAGGAGTGCTCTGGACTTGAGAAGGGTCTCCTCATTTCCCTTTGCAAAGACCTGGAAGTTTACAGATGAATCAGTATGTCCTAGATGTCCCTCACTATTTTTGACATGGCTGTATACCGGTTCTACTCTTTTAGTCTCATCTTATAATTGACTTGCTGCCCTCTGGTGGCCAAATGACCTGGGGCCATAAAACACCAAGTGCATTTTCTTGCCATCTCTAGGCCTGGGCTAAATTGGTTGGGGACATCAATTGGTGTCTCTGCAGAGCTTGGAAACATATGGGGAGTAATCGGATCTCCATGTGGCCCTAGAAGGGCGATATCTAGCAGGGGAATTGAAGGCTTCCCAAATCCTCATGTATCCTTCTGAACTTTGTTTAATTAAAGAGACAGGTGGGTTTCCTTTCAGGGAGTTCTGAAAGTCTTGGAGTCAGGAAGAGACATTTGAGTAAAGATAATACCTTCAACGCCCAATGACTGATCCAAGAGTGACCCAGGTACTAGAATTCTTCAGTAAGGCACAAGTAACTACTCCACCTGCCATGTATTTTCAGATGGAGAACAAAAGTCACACAGTAGTCCAGATTTCCCCTGGATAAGATACAAAAAGTCAGCCTGCAAACTGGAGGCCTTGGTCTCCATATAAAGATGGGTCCTGGGAAGAGCTTGCCAACCCAGAGCCTGGCTGGGACCTATCATCTGTTGTGGGCTGCGGAGATGGGGCAGGCTCACTCCAGGAGGGTGTATCACCCCAGGTGGACTTCCCTACACTGTTATGGGCAACACTTATGTCCATGTTCTGAGGAGTCTGGGCCTCCTTAGCAGTGACCACTCACTCTCCAGGTCTCCTGCACTATGGGTAAGACCACAGGAAGACCAGTTTCTATGGAGGAAGAAGAAAGGCGGCTGAAAACCACCACGAAGGTGAGATGTGCTTTCCTGAGTCTTTCCTGCTTTTCTAGGGACAGACATACTTAAGGAGTGTTACAAGTGACAAAGAGTGGTGATTTAAAACGCAAGAGCCCTTTTGTATTTGGAAAATTGCTGATTTAATAAAATAAAGACAATACAATATTTTCCAGTAAATGACTCCTTTTTTTTCAGTGCAACAGCCCTTGACAAGGTAGTTTATGTAATTTCATGTCAGTTTCCAACATGCTGCTTGCAGACCCTGGAATGTGCGCTGTCATCCTTTGTACAAAAGTCCCATGGGCCATGGAGAGGGTTGGGGTGCACAGCCTCGATTGCCAGAAGCTCCTTCCTAGAGAGCCATGAGGGGAGGTCCTGCAGATTTCCTTTGCAGACAGAGTCTAGACGCTTTGTCACTTCTGCTGTCTTCCACCTGGTGTTGCTATGCCAGAGCCCCAACTGCCTCTTTCTTCCTAGCCATCTGTAGACCAGCAGAAAATTCTCCCCTTTGCATCGCCAACCAGGAGTTTGGTCTGGTTTCTTGGGAGCAGAAAGAAAATACAAGAGTGACAGAGCATGTCAGTATGACTTGTCCCAGACAGCACACAGGAAGTAGCAATGCAAGGCTCAGTTCAGGGCCCAGTGGAGCCCGCCCCTGTCCTCATCTCCCCTAAAGCAGGAGGAGAAAGCAGGAAAAATGGCGAATGTTTTGACTTAGGGTGTGAGGGGCTTTGAGCTGTGAGGACTGAAGCTCCCACAGTGGTTAAGGGAAGCTCCAAGATGCTCATGCCTCAGGGAGCAGGGTGAGGCCCCGCCCCTTTCTCTTCAGAGTCTGTACGTGAGCCCCTTATCCCATAAGAGGTGAGTGTAGCCAGGATGCAGGTAGCAAATGACAACTTCTTCAGCAAAGAGTGTAGCTCTGGACTGTCCTTCCCTATTCCCACCCCATCCACTCCCTTGGGCTTCTAGAACCCTGTGTAGTTTCTGCCACCAGGGACAGGAACAGCCCACACCAGATCAGCGAGAACGGAGACAGGCCAGCTCTGAAAGATTAGCAGCCCTCTGAGACTACACCTCCTAAAATGTAGAACGAGGTTAATGATGGCAAGCACCTCCATAGGGTTACTGTGGCGAATCAAATAATGGGTATCGAGTGTTGGATTTGATACTTGGCTATGCTACATTGGGCAGAGCCCTCAAAAGGCATTTTCTGTTAATGCAAGATGATCATCATACCAAATGTTACTGTCAGCAGTGAAACTCGGGGAAAAAAGCTATCTTTAGGATAAAATGACAAAACAATACATTTATACCTTCTGGATTTCTTTATGAATTAATGGAAATCCAAGAGCAAGAGAGTGAGAGCATGTGTGAATTAAAAACAAAACAATAACAACAAAAAACATTTCCTAGAGGCCTACATGGCCGCATTGCCTTTGTCCTCTGTACAGTGGTGGGCCCCGTGGACCCTGTAATGAGGTGGACTCCCCAGTCAGGCAACCTGAGCTCAGAGCCACTGGGACTTTCTAGGGGTATCTACAGCACCCTCTGCTGGAGTCCTGGAGAAACCAGGCTGTGCTTACCTGGACACGGCCAGAGCCGTCACGGCAGGTCTGTTCTTGCTGGGTTTCCCAGTCAAAGCAACGCTGACATCCAGCTCTCGACTCAGGGCAAGGTTCTTCTCCCATTTGTGACCTGTGCGGAGTATATGAGAGAATAGTTAGAACACCCTAGTGGCTTCACACACCCACACGTGGGTTTCCACATGCAGGACCACAAACACATACGCACGTATTTATATTTGTGGTCAGCAACTTGTTAAATTGAGGGGGAAAATATATTTAATCTTGGCCTGTGCTGTTGCAAAAAGGGCCGTCCCAATTTAATTTGCAGGCTGTGATAGTTACATGTGCTGACGTGCCGCGGTATCCATTGTGTACCAAATTGGATTTGTGTATTATTGCTTTCTAAATTGCATGCCTAGTTCAGCAAAATTGTTCATCAGTGTTTACTGGCTTTATGCTTAATAAGATGCCCCACAATACCTTGCTGCCAGGATGTAATGCAGCCCGTAATTGCCTAGTAAAAATAAATTACATAAAGTCGGCATTATCAACTTATCTAAATCCTCTCACGCCACAACCAATAATTAAATGCTGAGAACGTTTTTTCAAAAAATATAACTCAATGATTGTTATTTCACTCATTTTAATGACTGCATTTGGGGACAGACAGCAATTCCTTCAATGTGAAGGGCAAGATGGAGACATGCCAGCTGGGTACGTCCCTGCGAGGCCACTTTGTTAGACTCAGTACAGGAGGGATGCTGCAGCCCCAGCTGTACTGGGGTGACCATCCATGTGTGCAGACAGGCCCATGAACCAGGAAATGCACAAGGGGTCTGGGTAAAGGAAACTGCTTGAAGCACACAAGACATTTGTAAATTCATGCACAAGTCTAAACAACAAGCTTCTCTCAAGCACTTTTTATGTAACAGATTGAGTCCAAATCTTTGGAGTGATTACTGAAATAAATGGTACTCAACTGGGTTGGGCCTTGCTGCAAATGGCAAATAAATGAATTCCAGGCAGAAATTAGTTTACATCTGCCCACAAATGCAGTATACTTAATATCTTCAAAAATCTCCTTTCTTGCCCCTTAAGACATTTAGGAGATGCAGCAACATATACACCAAGAGGACATGGTGCAACTATCCATGTGTATGCCCAATATTGGTCCCTTTCCAACAAAACATTTTTGAGCAATATTATAAGAATGTACTTTCTTATTAAAGACCTCCAGTGAGTTAGGTTTACAAATCCAAACACAGATTTGTTCACTCTAAACTGCATTCCAACATGATTTTTTTTTTACTATGTCTGCATCATCCTGTCATTTCATGCTAACCCTTCATCAAATTATAATTGCAATCTTGGCCATCAATTCAGTGGGGCAGCAGTGACCTCAGTTCAGGACAGACAGCAGAGAAAGGATGTGAACCCGGGCATCTCTGTCACCCTGAGACCCTCTTGTAAGTTCCCTGATGTTATCAGCTGCTGTGTTCAGAAAGAATAAACTCTTCTGAGAAAATGACAATAATGTTCTGCATTTGTGGAGTAGATTTTTGTCTGTGGCTATTTTTTCTGTCATTAGTACTCTATAAGTTAGTACAAGAAGTTCCTCATTTGGTAGAGGGGAAACTGAGGGTCAAAGAAGTTACTAGGACACAGTGGAGTCTAGTGCAACCTCACCACAATCGTTAATGCCAAATAGGAATTTGTGGATTCACAGAGACTTCCAGAACCAATGGAATGGCTCTTAGGTAACTTTTGTTCATCTGTCCATCCATCTACCTACCCACCCATCCATTCTGCAATGTCAGACATTAATTTTTCAGCCATGGGCTGAGCTAATGCTTTTAGCTTATTGGCCCCCGATAGCTTCAGAAGTGTGTGGGTGGTTGAGTCCATGACTAAAAAGGCATGTGGTCTCATTCAGATGTACCAGAGAGTCTCCTCATAAGCAGGCTGGGTAATAAGAGCCCTGTACTGGTTCTCTTCCAGGTGGGTAGAATAGGGGAGGAAGTTTGGCCCCTGCTCTCCAAAGAAGTGCTAAGTTCATTAGAATGCACACACATTTCTTTCTTGCACACACTTTCTTTTCTTTTCTGAGGTGGGCTGATTCCTTGTGGTCTCCAAGTGCCCTAGTAATACTAGGACCAGATAACTGAATGTGGTTCTTGATCTTTGCGATGTTATTGCTCTAGGTCAGCCCAGGTTGTTGACAAGGGCCTTAGATGGTATTCTCTTAAAGGAAGGAAATCTCAATATAGATGCCAGGACATAGTAGGGGCTGAGCAAGTGTCTGGGTGTGCTTGTATGACAAAAGAATCCATGAAAGGATAACTAAATGAATCAAGGAAGTGTGGACTACATTTTAGAAATGAACTAATTACAAATGGCTACTCTTTGCAAAAGACAGCCCTCAGAAATCTGAGAAATTATTTCCTGTGAATGATCATTGGTTTGGGAAGCAGAGAAAATGAGGAGCAACCAGAAGGGTTCAAGATGATAGGAAAAGTCTTACTCCATGGTAACATGCTTCCCTTGAACGTGAGACCCAAGAAAGATGTGCCAGGTCTGGGCCAGAATCTTTGACGAAGACCGAGCTGAGAGAGAAAGCTGGCTGCACTGGAGGAGTTGATGATGGGATTGGACAGATGTGACAAGGTGACAACAGTGGGATGACAGTGGTTTTGTAGCAGTACCTGTGGTTAAGGTTATTCTGTAGTGGTTGTAGCCACTATGGAGGCAGAAGTGAGAGTGATAATCTGCTTGCTGTGCAAGTCACTGAACCTCTCTGCACCTCAGTTTCCTTATTTCTGTCACATGGGTGCCTTGGTAATACCTGCCACACAGGGTTGCTATGAGAATCAGAAGAATGTATGGCATGTTTACAGTGGTGCCTGCTCGTGGTCAACGGTCTGCCATCAGTATTCTAGAATGGTGGTCATGGAGGTGGCCATGGTGGTGGCAGTGGTCATGACGGCAGAGAGTAGGAACAGACTTTTTTACTTCAGTCCCATGTGTCACAATCCCAAAAAAATTTTGTTCCAGAATAGTTATTCTACTTTGGCACACACCAAGACTCACCTGGGAGACTTGGACATATAAACTCTAACAACAACCAGTCTTTTCTAGGGGTTTGGGTTGAATAACATGACCTGGGTTCTATATTTTTAATAAGCCCCCAGCAATGCTGATGAAGATGGTCCCCACACCTACTTTGAGGAATTTGCCATAAGGAGTTGTGTGTTCTGAGCCAGGATCAATGGGACAGTCTGGGGCATGATGGAACCACTCCCTTGCCCCCGGGGAGATGACTTCTCCCTTGCTCCTGTCCAGGCAAATAGGCTGAATCCAAGCCCTGGGCTGAGGAGTTTGGCATTCAAGAGTCATGCAGGTAGAAGGAGAGCATAAACCAAGCTCAGCAAGGTGTGTCTCTCCCTTCTGAAGCCCAGGAGCCCCTGACAACCACCACACCACTGTCCACATGCCCAGGGAGCACCCCAGGGCTTGGTGGTCCCTTTAGGAATGAGACCAAGACTGAACAGCTCTCCACACTGCTTCTTATTCCACCAGTGCAGCAACTTGCACAGACTGTTCTCCTGCTTCCCCCAAACTTGGCAGCAATCCCCAGAGCCTTGAAGGCAGACATGGGGTAGCTGCATCCCTTGAGTTAAGGTGGGGAGAGGGAAGGGAGGAAAGGCAGGGCAGGGCAAGAGAGTGGCCACATCCTTAGCAGGGCAGGTACCTCTTGGGCTTGGAGGCTCCTCTACTGCTACCCGCCCAGGAACAGACATCTTCACATCTTCAGTCTTCCAAATCTGTTCATAAAAGAGAAAATGTCATGGGCTGGGGAAATGAGCCTGTCTGCAAACTCAGGGTGGCCCATCCCATTCTCCCACATCTGTGGATCCCTGTGGAAAGGAATGGGGGCATGACTAGCCCCTCTTACTTCTGATGTTAATTTATTGCCAGGTAAAAGTCTATTTAGGCTTCAGCCTCCCTGTGTAGAAGTTTGGCCGATCACAATTGCATCTTGGATGAGTTCACTCTCACCTGTGTCCCTAGATGCATTTCCCTCAGCCGCTTATCTACAGAGACAGGAGTCTGCAGCCAGTTTGTTAGCATTTTACTCTGCTAAGTCCTTTTGTGCCTAATGCCTAATGTGGCCTTCCTCACCCTTTGGTGGCTGGGCCCCATTTATGGGAGCTCTCAGATTAACTGCACATGGCTTCTCACTCGCTGAGTCTGAACTGTATGACTCTGAAGAACAAAGACAAGCCTCCTCTCAATGCTTCTGTGAGCTCCTCCCCAGGCCTAGCACAGTGCTAGCCATTCCAGGAGTTCAGTGGTCATGCTGAATAAGTGCTGAGTGCACAGAAGACCCCCACTCATGCATTTTGTGGGCACAGGAAAGAAATGCACCTGCTACCCAGTCATCTCAGGCTCCTCTGGCTGATCCACAGGTGTGGACTACATACCCAAGCCCAGCCCAGCCCAGGACACCCTGCCATCTGCAGAGACCCTGTTCCTCTCACAGTCCACAGTTGCAACTTGTGAGGGCACTTCCTGGGAGCTTCCTTGAGGGCACTTTCTGGGAACCTCCTCACCCTCGTCTCTCCTGTCCACTCACACTGGGCCTTTCCTCACATGGTCTCTCCATAGACCCTGACTTTTCCTCATCCTCAGGACTCAGCTGAAATGCCATCTCCCCTGAGGTCGCTCTGTTGGAAAGAAATCCATTGTTTCAATGAGCCTTACCACATTACTCCATTCTGCTTCCTGAAACATCATTTCTATGGTTCTTCTGAAACTTTGTGTTCAGAGTAGGCTAAGTTGTAGCCATGTTGGCACAATGTAAGTTTTCATAAGCACAGAATTTAATGGGTATTTTCTTGAATATTCTTTAACATGTCCACTCATAATTCGTACAATTCAATTGACAGGTTTTTTTTTTTTTTTTAAGCAAGCCTTTTAATTACCTCCATTTATTCCTTCACCCTTCCTATCAGTCTCAGAAAAATCACCTGTGCCTTGTTCTTCCCACCTTACCCCTTGACCTCAATGTTTTCTTCTCCTCTTGGCTTCTTGTGACTCGGAGAGTTCAGGCATGCTGATGATCTCAACTATGGCATTTACCACACATGGACCATTTTTTGTGTGAGCATCTTCTCACCAATCTCTGAATCTGAAGTGGTTTGTGTGAAGTGAATATTGGATGGGTGGGTGGATGGATGGATGAATGGACAGTTGGAAGGACAAATGAATGAGTAGGATGGATGGATTAGTGGGTGGATAGAAGAATGGATGGATGGATGGATGGATGGGTGAGTGGGTTGGGGAATGAGTGAGTGAATGGGCAGATGAGTGAGTGGATGTGTGGGTTGATGGATGGATGTATGGGTGAATGCGGGTAGGTAAATAAGTGGATGGACACATGAGTGGGCAAGTTTGGGTTGAAGGTATGACACAAATATCTCTTTTTAGATGATCTTTTGTATTTGACCATTCATACCTTGTAACAGTGTTTATTTTATTATGTGTGTGAGAGATATCATATATATAATTTTATCTATTTACATTTTGCCTGGGAACAACCTTGCCTTTTCCTCTGCTTGCTGTGGGTACCTGGTCTGAAATTGCAAATGCAACCTATGAATTTAAACCCCAGGAGGAAGTGGGTAAAATGGACACGAATACATTTCTTATGCTGTGTTCTCATTCTATCCAAAACACACCTACCCGGACCATGCCATCTTGACTTCCAGTGATGATGACATGGCTTGTGTCCCATGCTGGCCCCTCTATCATGCAGCAACAGGTTATGGCTCCTTCTGGACCCCAGGCTGTGGTGATGCTGGCCAGGGGCTGTCCATTGACATTCCATAGGGACAAGTGGGCTCCAGCACAGGAGACAATGGTGCCCTGCAGCATTGAGAGTTGGCGTTATTCTAAGCAGGAGTTATTGCCTGCCCACCTGACACTTGCTCAGACACTTAGTTTATACACCCAAGCACCCCAGACCTGCCATCTTCTGAAGACCCTCGAGGTACCCCAAGACTCCTTAAGACTTTCTTTTCTTTCACAGGTCTGTATTTTCACACAACTGTAAATTCTTGGCTCTTTTCATACTGTGTCCATGTGCTTGTACACTGCTTTCCCTAGCAGATGCTGTCTAACTCACCTTTTAGGCTCCTCCCAGATTTCACCCCCTGGCTATGTCTTGGCTGCCAAAGAAGACACAGCCTGAAATCTACTGCAGGCTCTGGACATAGAGACTATACCTGATTGACCAGCCCTGTCCCCATTAAGAAGTTCTGAATGTCAGCTGGTATAAGGCAGGATACGGAAGTCCAAATCACTGCCCATGGCTCATAAACTTGTAAAATGTCCCTCAAGAGGGAATTTCTGAGCAAAAGTTTCTTTATTGCATCTCCTGAAATGTTCACATCCAAAGTCTTTGCTCCTCCAGGCCTGGCTATTCTGTAGAGGCCACTGCCACCAAGACCCCAGCTGGGGCCATGCCTTTGATCTTTGCTTCAACTACAGAGGAATATAGAGAGTTCAGTGCTCCTCCACCTCCCCCTGGACTGAGATCCACTGAATTGTTAAGTACAATCTGTCTAGGCCAAGGACATGTCTGGTATATTTATTTCCAGTACATGAATGAACACATGAGCTGATGCATTGGAGAAGGCAATAAATTATGATGTGAAAGAACATAAAACCCCAGAGAAGACTGATAACAGGACAAGTTATCCTGGAGCCAATTTATTACTCCAGTGGCCTGGGACTCCTTCCTAAGCCCCACTAGGGGTAGCCAAGAGTGCATTCTTGTGGGGTATTCAAGCTCCTTCTTCCTAAACCCTACACTCCCCTCAAAGGCCCAAAAAAGACAGAGAACTTGGGTAATTCCCAGAGCCTGGCCCTCTACCTAGGTTGACTGGGCATTTCCTTGGAGCAACACAAACCAAGGAGAAGGCCCACAGCCACTATGGCTGCAGGCTTTCTCCCACAAGCACCGCCTCCTGACTGGAGATCAACAGTACAGCCCATCACATCAAATATAATATCTCAGTTTTGGGAAAGGTCTGATCCCTAACTCCAGCTGACATCTTTCCAAGCCACTCCAGCCACCCAAGATGCCATGAACCAGTGCAGTTGCACAGCATAGGACTGCTAGAGCTGGCAATTGAGAAACTCATGATACCAAAGCTATATATAACCGGGGGAACCCTACAGTGACTAAGTCAATCCCCTGCCAGCCTTACATAAGAAGAAACAGTCTACCCAAATGAGAAAAAATCAGCAAAATAATTTTTTTTTTTTTTTTGAGTTGGAGTCTCACTGTCGCCCAGACTGGAGTGCAGTGGCCGCTTCCGGCCACTACAGCCTAGACCTGCTGGGCTCCAGCGATCCTTCCGCCTCAGCCTTCCAAGTAGCCGGAATTACAGGCATGGTACCACGCCCGGCTGATTTTTTGATTTATTGTAGAGATGAGGTCTCGCCTGCCCAGGCGGGTCTCGAACCCGCGGGCTCAGGCAATTCACTCACCTCGGCTTCCCAAAGGTGTGGGATTACAGGCTGAGCCACCGAGCCCAGCTAATAATTCTTAACATTATGAAAAAACAGAGTTCTCCAACACCCCCAAAAGACTACACCAACTGTTAAGCAATGAATCCTAACCAACATGAAATTTCAGACATAGAATTCAAAAGGTTGATTATAAAATTGATCAGTGAGCTTCAGGAGAAACTTGAAAACCAATATGAAGAAGTTAAAAAAAAATATTCAGGACATGAATGAAAAGTTCTTCAAGAGATAGACACCTTTTAAAAAAGAGCTGAACTTCTGTAAATGAAAGAATCACTTAGGGAAGTACAAAACGTAGTGGAAAGTTTTAACAGAAGACTAGAACAAGCAGAAAAAAGGATCCTAGAACTTGAAGACACAGTTTTTGAATGAACCCAATTAGACAATAAAGAAAAAAGAATCAAGAGAATACAACAAAGTCTTCAAGAAATGTGAGATTATGTAAAATATCCAAACCTAAGAATCATAGGTGTTCCTGAGGAAGAAGAGGAAGCAACAGGCTTGGAAAACCTATTTGAGGAAATAATAAGGCAAAACTTCCCTAGCCTTGCCAGAAATCTGAACATCCAGATATAAGAAGCCTAAAGACTCCCCAGAAGACTCAATGCAAAAAGGTCTTCCCAAAGGTATATAATAATCTGGTTATGTGAAGGGAAGTATTTAAGAGCAGTGAGACAAAACCATCAAATAACTTACAAAGGCAAACCTACCAGACTAACAGTAGACTTCTCAGAAGAAACCTTACAAGCCAGAAGGGATTGGGGCCCCATTATCAATCTCCTAAAACAAAGTAACAGTTAATCAAAGTTTCTTTATCCTGCAAAAGCTATTTTATAAATGAAGGAGAAATAAAGTCTTTCCCAGACAAGTAAACACTGAGGAAATCTGTCACAACAAGACTGGCTCTACAAAAAATACCCAAAGGAGTTCTTCTAATACTGAAATAAAAGATCAAAACACACCAGTAGAAAAACACTGGAAACCATAAAGCTCACAGACCTTATGGAATACCATCACAACAGAAAAACTAAATAAATAAATAAAGCAACGAGATAACAACCAATATGATGAATGGAACAGTACCTTACATATCATTATTAACGCTGAACATAGATGGTCTCAATGCCCCACTAAAAAGATATAGACTGGTAGAACAAATTTTAAAAGTACAACCCAAATATCTCTTGCCTTCAAGAGGCCCACTAACTCACAAAGACGCTAATAGATACAAGGTAAAGGAGTGGGGGGGAAATATTCCATGCAAACAGAAACCAAAAATGAGCAGGAGTAGCCATTCTCATATCAGATAAAACTGACTTTAAATTAACAATAGTAAAAAAGGACAAAGATGGTTATTATATCATGATAAAGGGATCAGCACAATAAGAATATGTAACAATTTTAAATATATATGTGCATAACACCATCTATATAAAACATTCTACTAGATCTAAAAAAAAAAAGAGAGAGAGAGATAAATAGGTATACGATAACAGTGGGAGACTTCAACACTCCGCTGACAGCAATAAATAGATTGTCAAGGGAGAAAGTCTACAAAGAAACATTGGAGTTAAACCAGACTCTAGAGCAAGTGGACTAGCAGACATCTACAGAACATTCCATCCCCAAACTACTATACATTTTTCTCATCACCAAATGGAACATTCTCCAAGATAGACCATATTATGGACCACAAATCAAGTCTCAATACATTAAAAAAAAAAACCATATCAAGCACTGTCTCAGACCACAGTGGAATAAAACTAGAAACTTACTTTAAAAAGAACTCATGAAACCAAACAAAAACACAGAAATTAAACAATCTACTCCTGAATGATCCTTGGGTGAACAATGCAATTAAGATGGAAATTTAAAAATTCCTCAAAATAAGTAACAACAATGGAAAAAGTTATCAAAATCTCTGGTTCACAACCAAAGCTATGCTCAGAGGAGAATTTATAGTGCTTAATGCCTACATTCATAAGACTGAAATATCAAATATTGACAACCTAACATCACATCTCAAGAAACTAGAAGAACACAAACAAACCAAACCCAAAGCTAGCAGAAGAAAAGATGTAATGAAGATCAGAGCAGAACTAAATAAAATTTAAACAAAAAACCACAAGGGACCAGTGAAGCAAAAGGTTGGTTATTTGAAAAGATAAACAAAATTGATAGACTGCTAGTTAGATTAATTAAGAAATAAAGTGAGGAGATTCAAATTATCTCAATCAGAAATGAAAATGGAGACATTACAACTGATATAGTGAAAATTCAAAAAATAATTCAAGACTATTATAAACACATCTATGCAAACAAACTAGAAATCTAGAGGAAGTTGATAGATTCTTGGAAACATACAACCCCCAACTTTGAATCAGGAAAAAATAGAAACCTTGAACAGATCAGTAGTGAGTAGGAAGATTGAAACAGTAATTAGAAGTCTCACAACAACAACAACAACAACAATGTCCAGGACCTGATGGACTCACAGCTGAATTCTACCAGACCTTCAATGAAAAACTGGTACCAATCTTACTAAAGCTATTCCACAAGATTAAAAATGAGGAATCCTCCGTAACTCATTCTACAAAGCCAATATCGCTTTGATATCAAAGTCAGGAAACGACACAACAAAAAAAGAGGAAACTACAGATCAATATCCCTTATAAACATAGATACAAAAATTCTCAACAAAATACTAGCAAACTGAATTTATAACTCTGCACATTAAAAAAAAAATACACCATGACCAAGTGGGTTTATACCAGGGATGCAAGAGTGGTTCAACATATACAAGTCAATAAACATGATGCACTATGTAAACTGAATTTTTTAAAAGTATATGATCATTTTAATAGACACAGAAAAAGCATTTGATAAAATCTAGTATCACTTCATGATGAAAATCCTCAGCAGAATAGACATAGAGGGAACATTCCTCAAAATAATAAAAGCCATATACAACAAACTCATAGTCAATGTCATCCTGAACAGAGAAAAGTCAGATGCTTCCCCCCTCAGAACTGTAGCAAGGCAAGGATGCCACTTTTACCACTACTATTCAACATAGTACTGGAAGTCCTAACCAGAGCAATCAGACAAGAAAAAGAAATAAAGGGTATCCAAATTGAAAAAGAAAAAAATCAAACCATCTCTGTATGCTGACGATATGATCTTGTACCTAAAGAATACTAAAGACTCCTCTAAAAGATTCCTGGACTTGGTAAATACATTCAACAAAGTTTTAGGATACAAAATCAGCACACACTAATCAGTAGCACTGCTGTATACCAACAGTGACCAAGCCGAGTATCAAATGAAAAACTCAATTATATTGACAATAGCAACCAAAAAGATAAAATACCTAGGAATATATTTAACTAAGGAGGTGAAAGACCTCTACAAGGAGAACTACAAAATTCTGATGAAAGAAATTGTAGAGGACACAGATGTATGAAGGTACATCCCATGTTCAGGGATTGGAAGAATCGGTGTTGTTAAAATGTCCATATTACCCAAAGTAATCTACAGATTCAATGTAATCCCTATCAAACTACCATCATTTTTCACAGAATTAGAAAAAAACAATTCTAAAATTCATATGGAACTTAAAAAAGAGCCAGAATAACCAAAACAATCCTAAGCAAAAAGAATAAAGCTGGAAACATCAAATTGCCTGACTTCAAATTATACTACAAGACTGTAGTAACCAAAACAGCTTAGCACTGGCACAAAAGCAGGCACATGGACCAATGGAACAGAATAAAGTATCCAGAAATAAACCTGCATACCTACAACCAACTGATTTTTGACAAAGAAGACAAAAACATACACTGTGAAAAGGACACTCTTCAATAAATGGTGCTGGGAGAATTGTAAAGATTAATATCTTCTCCCATTCTCCCTATCTTCTATAGGGAAAATGGGAGATGATATTCACAAACTATATATCTGAAAAGGGACTGATATCCAGAATCTTCACAGAACTGAAACAAATCAGTAAGAAAAAAACAAAAAACCTCATTTAAAAGTGGGCAAATAATAACATGAACAGACATCTCTCAAAAGAAGATATACAAATGGTCAACAAACATATAAAAATGCTCAACATCAATCATTATCAGGGAAGTGCAAATTAAAATCACAATGAGATAATACTTTACGCTAGTCAGAATGTCCATTATTTAAAAATCAAAAAACAATAGATGCTGGCATGGATGCAGAGAAAAGGAACATCTATATGCTGTTGGTGGGAGTATAAATTAATACAACCTCTATGGAAAGCAGTATGGATATTTCTCAAACAACTAAAAGTAGATCTGCTATTTGATCCAGCAATCACACTACTAGGTATCTACCCAAAGAAACAGAGCCCATTATGTAAAAAAATATTCATGTTCATCACAGCACAATTCACAATTGCAAAGATGTGGAATCAACCTAAATATCCATCAATTGATCAGCAGATAATGAAAATGTGGTATATATACACTATGAAATACTATTCAGCCATTCAAAATAATGAAATAATGTCTTTTGTAGCAACTTGGATGGAATTGAAGAACATCATCCTAAGTGAACTAACTCGGGAACAGAAAATCAAACACCACATGTTCTCACTTATAAGCGGAAGTTAAACTAAGGATCTGCAAAGGCATAGAGAATGATACAATGAACACTGGAGACTCAGAAGGTGTGGGAGGGATGGAATATCACCTATTGGGTACAGTGTGCATAGGTGGGAGTGGTGGGTACACTCAAAGCCCAGGCCAAAACTATTTGTAGCCCCTAAAGTATTAACAAATAAACTTAAGTAATCTTCAAAGTACTCTCCCTTTGATGTACTACGCCTATGTAGATGCTTTTTCTACTGCTCAAAACAGTTTTTGAACTTGTCAATTTGGGTGCCTTGTAGCGCTTCTGCTATTTTTTGCTTCACCTCTTCCACATCAACAAAACATTTCCCTTTGAGGACTTTTTTCATCCAGGGAAACAAACAGACAAAAAATGTTTCTGGGGCAAGACCGGATTAGTAGGGAGGAGGGTGCACGGGGGTCATGCCATTTTGGGTCAAGAACTGCTGAACACTCAGCATGATGTGGTCAGGTTGTTTGTGTAAATCACCCATCATGAAATGGGCAAACACACTGAAAGAATCTCCAAAAAAATTTCACTGAAACCAAGCGCAGCCTCTCACAACAACGCTAACGGGCACACTGAGGCCAATAGGCTCTTAGAACACTTACCTAGTGGCGGAAGCCTGTACTACAAGAAGATCACCCTCCAAAAGAAAATTCCTATTTTGGGGGGTCCCCCCTTGTATAGTGAATGTTCCACACATTTGGTGCCCTTTCAGCATAATGGTGTGGTCAGCATCTCTCTGTCCCTGGCTTTTCTCTTGGGTGTAGTCCACCGTGCTACTGCACAGGCTTACCTAGTGAAGACACAGATAGCCATAAACAGAAGCCTCACCGAGATGTCACTGATGGCAATGGCTGAGATGCCCTCCCGGTGGGCAGGTAGGCGGGTCACATGGATGAGGTGGTCCAAATCCCACAGGATGCAGGTACAGTCCTGGGAGCCACTCACCAGGAGGCTGAAGGCGGCCGATGCTGCCAGGCATGTGACCGCCTGTGTGTGACCGTACAAAGTCTGGGAACAGGAGGCAAGACCCAGGGATTAGGAAAGGGACCCTCAATCTAGAGATCCCCACCCTCCTCTTTACCACAGTGCCCTAGATCAGGAAAGAGATTCAGAGTGAGTCAGTGGTTGCAAAGGCTGGGGTCTGTGGGGCTAGGGATGTGCACGTATGTATCTGTCCAAGACTGGACTCTCAGTTTCATCCATCTCCAGGGGTTAAGCTACTCTGGGAAGAATTAACCATCTTTTTACCATAACCCAAACAGACTACAGCTGCATTCGATACTTTGAGCTCCCTTAAATCTGTCTTGAGTCCTGAAACAGCTCATATTAACATGCAAAAGTACTGTTGGCAAAGTGTGATGTCTGGACCAGCAGCCTCAGGAGCATTAGGGAGCTTGTTAGCAATGAAAATTCTTGAGTTTACCCCAGATCTACCGAATCAGAAGCTCTGGGAGTAGGACCCTAAAATCTGAATTTCCAAAAGCCCTTTAGGGGATTCTCACACATGCTCAAGTTTGAGAGTCATCATAGTAAGGGAAACTCAGAAACACACATGTCCCTGAACTAAACTGGGAAGGAGAAGGACAGGTCTGGTCATCTTTTAAAAAAATGGAATTTTCAAGTCTAATCCATCTAGGCTCATGTCCAGTGGTGACAAAGGATCTTGATTTGGCCTATGCAGGGTCTGACCTGACTCATGGACGGTTTTGTGTCCAAATTTGACTGGAGATCTTGCTGTCTGTGGATGTGTCCCTGAAAGGGCCAACGTGGCCCACCAGGCACACTGGTACCCCTGGGCCCATTGCTGGTGGCATTGGCATGATCCCATCACAAGTATCCCAGGGGCAGTCAGGCAAGCCGGATTTGAGGTCCTCTGTGTTCTGGAAGCAGCCAGAGGGGTGCAGAGGTGGCATTTTGAAGGCTTACCAAATGGTAAACTTTCACCCTCAGGACAGAAAAACTTCTCATTCATTTGGGTCTATGAGGCTGAGCTTCATTTTTCAAAGCTGTCACTTTGCCTAGTCACAGCAATTAAAAGTTCTGCCACAGGCTCCCTCCTGTTTTGTCCTCAATGGATTCTAACATGACACCAACCAGATGGTTCTGGCAAGTTTCTGGGTATGACCCATGGAAGAACCATTTTCCTAGGAAAATGGAAATTCTAAATGACTAGAGGAAAGCACAGAATTTGACAGAAACTTTCAAATTCTCTTCCCAGGATGTGCTAAGTCTGATGACTAAGTTCTGACCACAGGGGATACAGCGATGCTTAAGAGTACAGGGATCAAGTCCGTGATGCAAGGGCTAAAGATTCTGAGAGCGGAACTCTGAGCTCAGAGGCCAACACATGTTTACTAACAGAACTGAGCCTGCCTGCTCTCTACAGAGAACAGTCTGTGTGCATGGCTCTGCCCTCTTAGGTCAGACTTGGTGTCTTCCAACCAACCTGGAAACTAGAACATCTTGATTATATCAGTCTTAGACCTAACTCAAGCAGCAAAAAATAATTAAAATAAAATAAAATCTCTGGAAATAATTCCTCACGCTGGTCACACTGTGGTGAGATGGGTACTCTTAATTGTTGGTGGCACTGTAAAGCTACAGAAACATTTTTGAAAGCATTATGTCACTGCTCAGTAGTTCTCCTCCTCAACATTTATCACGAGGAAACAAGCAGAAGCAAATGGCATCTATATAAGATGTTTTCTGCAACACTATGTAAAATAGTTAAAACTTGGAAACAACCTAATAGTCTAGTTTTAAAAGAAATGGCTTATTAAACTGTGGTCCATTGACATAACAAAACAATTGAAATGTAATTTTATGGAAATGGAATAATATGAAATGATTGAAATGTAAATTATAGAGACTGTAGGAAAATGGAAGCAATTTGATAGGCTGGGAGAAAATAGAATAAACATATCTACACAATGATCAGGAGGGTATAAATATGTATATCTAGGGATGAGAATATGCAAAAATGAAAATTTTTTACAGATTGTAGAGAATTATCTTTAAAGTGAATTTTAAATTTCTCTTTAACACTGTAATATCTTTAAAGGTAAAACACTTTTCAAACTGTCTATGGCACTGTTTAATGATGATGTCTCTGTCTAGAAATCAGGGAGTGACCCCTTGCTGAGCAGCTGTGGGCTTGGTCATGTTAGGCTTTATTAGAAAATAAGAGCATGTGGGTTTCTTTTCCTCTTGATTTGGCCCTAGGAGATGACAATAAATTATATTTTTATGGTGTCAATACTGGGCATCTTCACTGCTAAATAGGAGTGGGAACCTTGGTGGAAGAGTCACTTCCCTGGTGCCCCAAGGCTGACTCCAGGGTCAGGATGGAATTGCCTACAGTCCCCTGGGATGAGCTATAAATGGGAATCAGGGATGCCAGGGAGAGGGAGCCCCAAAATCTTTCATTTTCAGTCTCCTCTTATAAGTTGGGAGAGTTACCCCTAGGGAGAATCACCCCTAGGTCCATTGACAATTACAGCCAAGCTGAGAGAGTCAGGAAACCACCAGGAGCAGCATGAACTTGGGTGAAAGTCCTCTGCATGTTGCTGACACAACTGCCCCTAGCCAGTGTCACTGCCCCTGCAGAATACATAGCTCCCTAGTCTACTGCCCCATTCATTCCTTCCTTTCATGCTTGCTGAGTGCTCAAACTGCACCCTCCATGCACCAGGGTACAGGGACAAGCTCTGGCTTAAAAATCATCCAGAGAAACTTAGGATCCATTCTAGTAACACATGTTCCATTTAGGAAATCCAGTCCGTGGTGAATTTTGTACACTCTATTTGTGTTTTTGCGACTTTGGGCTTCTATAGTTAACTAAAAAGCAGACGCAAAAAAATGAACTGGATTTTAGAGTTGAAAATATCACCTAGTGATGTTCTAGGGCATGTACCAGAGTCCACAAGGAGAAGGCATGAGGTTTATAGTTAGACAAACCTACATTCAAATGCAGACTTGATTCAGCCATTCTGAGCCTCAGTTTCCTCACTTGAAAATGGGAATAATAGCACCTCTTTTACAGGATTAAAATTAGTTTACATTTGGCAGCTGAGGTGAGAGGATTGCCTGAGCCCACGAGTTCAAGACTAGCCTAGGCAACTTGGTAAGACCTCATCTCTACAATAAATGAAAAAATTAGCTGGGCATGGTAGTGCGTGCCTGTAGTTCTCGTTACCTGGAAAGCTGAGGCAGAAGAACTGCCTCAGCACAGCAAGTCGACGCTGGGTTGGCCATGAGCGTGCCACTGCACTCCAGCCTGGGCAACAGAGTGAGACTCTGACTAAAAAAAAAATTAGTTTACAGAGAGGCCTTGGCACCTCTGGAGTGTTAAGCAAATGGTAAGTGCCACTATGATTAGCATTCCCTACTAGGGCTGGTGGCTCACGAGGTAGGGCCAGGAAGAGTTCTCTGCCTTCTGGCCTGTTGTTCCTCCCACTCCAGGCTCAATCACTCCTTTTTGAAATTGTTTTTCATTTGACCTAGGATGAGTCAGTTAACTTCCCTGCAAAGGACTGTCAAAAAGGTAAAATGAGACAATTCACATAAAAGTGCTTGGTGTAATGACCAGTCCAAGATAAATGCTCACAAACTATTATCTGGTACAAGGAAATGAATTTCACTAAACCTGCCATGTACGTGGAAGTAGCTGTGTGTGGCCTAGCATCTCTCACTGAGGTGTGGGCTTCCATGGAGGCACCTGACCTGTGTACTTAGTCAATCCACCGGTGGGAATAAAATGATGTCCCCAAATGACACAGAGCTGTGGGACACTCCATGTACCTCACTGCATTTCCTGCGCCAGAGGGAGGTGGGGCCCTCAGTGAGCAGGTTGTCAGGAGGCATTCAGACACCTGCTGGGGTACCATGACTGCCAGGGGTACTGTTCCTTTCTGAGGCACTGCACTTGTCTGAGTTACGTACCTGCCTGAGGCGCAAGCCTCTGGGGCGGCCTTTGGTCATGCTGAGCTCCCACACACACACAACGGTGCTGGCCCCAGAGGTGACAATCATGGTAGGTGAAGGGCACACAGCACACAGACAGTGGCCCCAGACAGCCAAGTTCTCAAATGTCATCAAGATCTGTGGGAGACAGGGGGGGATAAACATTTGTGCAGAGCGCAGAGCAGGCAGGGTCCAGGAGCCCAGGACAGAGCAACAGGAGGTTGCAAGCCAATCTGGGTGCCTTGGGAACAAGGGACACCTTATATATTTAGGGACCAAGCCCTGGTGATGAAATTCAAGTCATCCCAGGCTTGTCTCCAAGAAGGAGCTCCTATTCCAGCAGGTGGGAAGAAAAAAGTGAGGGAGGAGACCTCTGTGAGCACCAGGAGGTGGTGGCTCAGCCTGGGGCAGTTAGGGCAGCTTTCAGGAGGGAGAAATGTGGTGCTGGTTTCCATGGTAGCCTCATGTGCATGAGTGCTATCCCTGCTTTGGGCTTGCTGATCTCTGAACCAACTCTGCCTCCAGCTGGAGGAGGCCCGAAGCCCTGAGTCTAACCCTGCTCTCCACGGCCAGCTCACCTTGTCAGAGCCATAGCTTCCCAGGCAGCAGCTGAAGTCGTCAAAGCCCCAGCTGAAGGTCCTGTTCCAGAGAGGAGGCAACAGTATCTTGTTCTTCTCCACAGCCAAGATGGTCTTCTCAGTAGGGACAATGTGGCCGATGGCCCCTTTGGGAGACTCTGAGCCTAGGGAGAAAAGGTACATATCTACACCCCAGTTAGTATAAGTTTATATATCGAAAGACAGCACCCACATCAGCTGCATCTAGAGAGCAGAGGCCATAAGCAGACACTGTAGACTTGACAAAGCATGCACCTGGACTAGAAGCCTTTTGGTAAGACTGTGCTAGACCCTTCCCATGGGCCAGGTTCCTGCTCCTCGGATGCTCCTCTGAGAGGAGTATTAGGTGTGTGGCCATGCAGGTCTCCAGTGTCTCTCAGGTGATAATGCCAGGAAGAAGGAGCTGAGGATGCCTTTCGGGGCTGGTGACACAAAGCCATGGGGGATCAGGGAGTCTCTACTTTTCCTGTCCTGGCTTTATCAGGGAGGCAGGTGCAGAGCACAGCTGTCCAGGACAGCACCTGTCCTCCCCCAGCTCCACTCTGGAAGCCACTCCCAGATGCAGCATGAAATTTGGAGCCGCTCAGATTGTATTTCAACTCTGGTTATCCTGTGCAAGTCACTCCACCCCTTCACACCACAGCCTCCTTCCATGGAGTGGAGATCATGAGCCCTCTCTCAGCATATGCTGCCTGCCACAGAGCCTGCCACAGCATGAGAGCTCAAAATGCAGAGACCAGCCTCATTTCTAAGACTGTGCATACCACATCCACACATGGCGGGGAACTTTTCTTCCTCATTGTGGTAGCTGCTCCCTTCCCTGCTCTGTGTCAGGTGAAATGGAAGCACCACTCTCTTCCTGATTCCTACCACTCCAGAGGCATAGAGGGAACAGGATATTCTGGAGAGGCTCCATGACAGGACTATAGGATGCCCCCTCCTCCTCATTACAGGGAAGGGGCTGAGGCAACAATAGCCTTTACTGCCTGGAATTGTTCAGATGAAAAGAAGTCAGTGTAGCCAGGCCACTTAAAGTGAGGCCCAGCACATGCTCAGAGAGGCACTGGCATCTGCCAGGATTTCTGACTGAACATTAGCTTGGTGCCAGCCCATGTGACAAATGCCACCTCATAGCATTGTCACAAGCCTGAGGACAGGGCCATTGTCTTGCTCACCTTACAAATAAGAAAATGAATCTTGGGAAGGTCCTTCAGGCCCATCTGGCTGGTAAGGTCCACATTTGGTCTCTCTGAGTCCACATTTAAGATCTGAGCTCTTTTGTTGCTGTTGACATGGTTTGTACTGTGGTGGCAGGGGCTATGCTAATTGTCTAGAGACTTAATGTGGCAGAAAATTTGGGGTTCTGTGGTAAATTAAGGCATGATCCCCAGAGTCAAAAGCAGCAGGCATCATTATTTACTAAGGACAATGTTCTTGGACTTCAAAGGTAAAAAAGCACATACCAGTAAAGCCAAAGAAAACCTGACATTATACTCCTTGGGACCCACATGTCATTCCATGTAGTGAGATTTGCCCAAAGCAGTACATGTCCCTGGTTGCACAGACATCTGCTTTCCTGCACACATGACCCTGGGAACCTACCGAGGGGGGGGACCCTATCATCCCTTCTACTTCTATCTGGATGACCCTTGTATCTGGCTGGGTGGGACCAACCTCAGTGGCCCCCTGACTCTGCAGAGCCTCTCTGAGCCTTGGTAGCAATGGATGAAGCCATTGAACTTGTGGTCAAAGAGGTATAGTAGTATTTATAGAAACAACAGCAACGTGCTGGGCACTTAATGTGGCCCATCTCATTGACAAGCAACCCTCTTCTGATCCCCAGGGGTTTCAGTGACTTATCCAAAGTCACAAGCCAGGAAGCAGTAGGGCTGTAACTCACAAGGTTGTCTACCCCAGAGCACGTGCTCTTAGACATAGGCTGTGTGCCCATCTACATGCTTAGAAGCAACAATGACCAAGGTGAAGAGGCTGTAACCCTCCCTTGGGAAACTTGGATTTCCACATTAGTCTTCAGAGAAGAGGAGGTGTGTGTGTGTGTGTGTGCATGTATAAAAGAAAGAGAAAGAAAGAGAGAGTTGTATATGCATGAAAGAAAGAAGTGTGTACATGTGTATATAAGTGTATTTATGAGAAAGAGAAAGAGGTGTGTGTGTCTGAGACAGGCAGACACATAGGTCTTCAGAAGTGAGGACCTTACAGAGGTAGTCCTGGTCACTTCCAGAGCAGAGGCCTCCCCAGAATCCCACTGTGATTAGAGACACAGTCATTCAAAGTCAGATCCCAATACTTTGCCCAGGTCTGTGTCCCTGGGCCTCCAGAGAAAACTAGTCACTGAAGGAACGACCTTGGGACAGGGCACCAAACAATGCAGGACCAGGTAATCACCTTTAACCGTGACCTGGGAGGGCCTCAGAGACTGTAGACTGTAGAAAAAGGGCTGTGGGTGGCCAGGCAGGCTCACAGGTGTGGAGACATCCTTTCCAGGTGGAGGCTTCCCTGCTATGGTCCTGGCTGGGTGGGGTTTAGTAAAGAGCTAGAGAGGTAGGAAAGAGACACATAACACACAGGCCATTAGGTGACAGACACAGCACACAGGCCACTGGGGGGACCGATGCTCAGAGGAGTTTCCCCCATGCCCACCATAGCTGCACCCCTGCTGCCACAGCTGGACTTGCTCCTGACAGAGCTGAGCATGAACAGAACATCTGGTCCAGCACTCAGTATACTGCAGGTGAGGGGCCTGGGGCTCAGAGAAGAACAGTTACTTTCTTGAGGTTGTAGAATTAACCCTCCTGCCTGCTAAATCTGTCTTCTTCCCTAAGCTGCTTGGGAAAAGGCTGACCTCTGAGGAGCCCCTGGTCCCCAAGAGAGCTGCCTTTCAACCATGGGGTCAGAGTGACCCTCTTTCCTCCCTAGAGCACATGGCTCCCTTCACTGGCTCAACCTATTTCTCATATTCTTCCTTCCCTCACAAACTCTCTGCAGGCTCCTTTACCTTGGCATCAACACAATTCTCTAATAACATCCATTCAAATATTCCAAAGAGCATAGGCAAATCCTATTAGAACCTTATTTCTCATTTTTTTCTGTTTCTCATTTTTTCTCAGATCTCTGCTATCAGATTGTGCCTAATGCCAAAATTTCTGCATAGCCGAGCCAGGCACTAAGCACGAGGGCATGCCACCTGGCCGAGTCCTTGTTGTTGGACCAGAGCATGCAGCTGTACAAGTGTGGACAGATGCAGCTCCCCACCGCCCTTCCACTGGGCTGCCTTCTCCCATCAATGGCACATTCCTGGGCTTCTGACAGATTCATACACTGGGCCCACATTAGAGGGAGCTGAGGAGGCAGCTGGCATCGACTGTGCACATGGGCGGAGTCAGGGTTCAGGTTCTCTGAGGAGATGGGGGGAGTCAGTGCTCCAGAGCAACCTGGGCTCAGTTACAGTCAGAGATCACATGCTAAACTCTCTAGAAAAGCTGGGAGAGTGATCAATATAAACAGAAGTCACCATTTTTCAATTAGCATTTAATAGTGGATTTTTTTCCTTGCTCAGAATGACTGGGTCCCACATAAGCTGTAGCAGACATGCCCTGGCAGGAGTAGCATGAGGTCCTAAGACTTTAATCCTGTCTTCAGACTGGGACCACTTGGGAATTATCATTCTGATGATCACTTAAACATATTTCTTAAAAGCTCTTATGACCTATCACTCAGTAAAATCAGAATCTAAAATTGTGTGTGTTCCATGATCACACTAATGTGAAAAGATCTTTGCCATGGACAAGAACTGTGAGTATATGAAACTGGACGTGGTTGAGTGGTGGTGGCTACTACTCTGAATTATTTCATTGCATTATCTGTATTAGTACATATTTTTTAAATTAAAGAAATAAAACCATTAAGCTATCAAGTTTTTACCCTGAACATCTCTCCTTTCTACAAAGCCCCCCCGCAAAGTTGTTTTGGATGTGCCATCTCATCTCCAAGTCACCCTCATGCCCATCTCACAGTCCTCTTTTCTAAGAACTGAGCGAAACTCAGCATGTCACATAAGGTCACACAGAAAAGATGTTAGTTTTGCACTAACTACAAGAGGAGCCCATCCAGCACTCAAGGTCACATGTGGGAAAGGTTGTTGCCCAGGACTGTCCTGGGATTGTCCAGGGTTAGACACTTATCTCCCAATGTGGCTGCTAACTACCAGGCTGGGAGCCTAGCCATGGGGTCACACTTTTGAGCCCAGATGGCTGTGTTCAGGACCAAAGCATCTCCACACAACCATACTTTGGGGAATCAACAGGACCAGTGGCATTTAAACAAGAGCCTAACTTGTATGTCAACATGAACACACATGCTCATATTGCTACGTGACTATCCTGATGGGAGATGGAGCCAGCAGAGCAGAAAGCCCAGATGAGATCTCTGCAATTTCACCAGGGGCCTGGCAGGCAGAAGGTAGATGCTCTCATACCAGTGGCAATTTGGTACAAGCTTTGGACCTATTCAGATGGGGTCAGAGCTCTACCTCTGTTGCTTACTAATGGTGCATTAGTATTTATGTATTTAGTAGTTATGTATTAGTATTTATGTATGCTAAATACTTATTTAGCCCCTCTGAGCCTCAGTTTCCTGATCTATAAAATAATGCTTCCTATACCCAGAGTTTATGAAGATTCAATGAGGTAATCACACTAATAACTCCTTCGTTCCTAACCTCTGGGGAGAATGTCTTCACTATTTCCTGAGCTCACACCGCGCACACTCTTTGGAGAAAACAAGACAAATAATAAGGTATACTGTACCTGTTTGGGCACCTGTCCAAAGTTGCTGACAAAACCCAGGACAGTGCTCTTGATCAGTGGATCAACAATGCTGCTGAGGTTCATTTTATCACCATAGAAGTAGGGATGGAAGGTATTAATGGCCTCCACTGCAGCTGGCCCTTGCTGCTTGTACCCAAAAATGAGGTCTATCCAATGGTGAAGGTTGGCACTGACAAAGTCACTTTCCAGAGCCTGGAATCAAAACCCAAACAGCATGAAAACCCAGGCTTCTCATGGTTTCATGTACCTTCTGCACAGATTAGAAAGGACATGTGCTTCAGGATGCTGGCTCCACACAGGAGACATGATTGATGGCCCCTGGGCTTGATGAGCAGGAAGTGGGTACGAATCAGCCATCTGAGGGTCACCCAATTTCTTCCTCTAGCAAGTGGCAAACAAGATCTGACTGTTCCCAAAACCCCAGCTCAACCACACCATAAAATAACCACGATATTTAGAATATCTATGTGGTTTTTGTCTGGAAGAGACATCTAAATGAAAGAGACCAGACTGAAAATAAAGTCTTGGCATCCTGCTGAGATCTGACACATGAAACAGCAAAGCTGATTCTGACCAGAAAATGTCAGGAAGCTGAGACTAAGTGTAGTGACCAGGAGAGCATGCTCTAGAGCAGAGTGTGTCTTAACATCTCAGTTTCTTCATTTGTAAAATGAACCAATAATTGTATTTTCTTCTTGGGTGTATGTAAGGATTGAGTTGTGTCTGTGTCTTCTGCACAGAGAGCTCCGTGTAGCTAGCTAGGTAGCTATGCTGAGCACATACTAGGTTTCAGGCATTGACTTGGGTCTTTTTTATGGCTTTTCTCTTCCCACTGCCACCACCTTTTGCTGGTAGGTATAATTACCCCATTTCTGGGGCAGACTCATGTGTGGTTTTTGAACCTAATGTCCCAGCCCCAAACTTTCACACCTCAGTACCCTACAGAGGACATCCAGCTTCACTAAGGAGATCTCCACTTGAGTACTGATAAATAATTGGCATCTGGGTATGGGAATCTTCCCAAATCATCCCTAGCAGAGAAATGATAGACTTTGCCTTTGAGGTAAAGCTTAGTCCCCAGAAATGTGAGCTTCCCTTATTGAGGCACCTCTGTCTAGCCCGAGGCACACAGCAGGCAAATAGCGTCTCACTCACACATCGGTGGAGCAAGTGTGTAAAGACCCGAGGAACACTGCCTATGTGCAGGCTCACTTTCTATAGCTGTCAGGACAGGAGATGTTCTCGACTCAGCCACGGAGCTTGGGATCTGAGCTTAAAGCCTTTGAGAACTAAAACTTACCCCACTTAGGAACACCCTTCTAAAAGCCAGCAACACCTGCCCCTAATGAAAGGTGACATTTTACAGGAAATGAAAAATTTAGCACAGGAGTCAAACAGGCCAGATTCTTCATGGATATAGTTCTGATGGATGGAGCTGGCTCAGGTGGGGGCAACCTGGCTGGCAATGTTTCTCATCAGGTATTGAGAGGTGGTACCTATTTCTGCTAGGTTGAGCTGGGTCCCCAGACCCCAGAGATGCTCATTTGGAATTGTCTGGGCTCCTCTTGGTGGTCCTCTGGGAGGACATGTACCTCTACACCTGGGAAGGTCAGGTCACCTGGGTCAGGTTAGTGTCTCTGAAGTCTATGGCCAAAGTGGCTTTTACTTGAGTCATGCCATATGAGGTGTGATGAGAGGTATGTCTTTCCCAAGCCTACCATCTGGCCTGGAGCACATCTAATAGCCTTCTGGAGATGGTGGCATTAAGGCATTTGTTGGTGACCACAACAGAACAGCTATAGGTATAGCTGGTATGTGGGAAAATTGCAGGCCAGGACATCTGACCCTGCTGCTGGGCCCTTTCCCCCAACACTTCCTTCCTAACCAACACATTTCCCATGTTCTTGAGTCCCTCTCGCACATTCCTCTACCTTCTTTCTTTAAATGAAGCCTTGCTCCTCGTCCCCCCACCCCAGCCATCAGTCAGTCTCCCTTCACGCTCAGTAGTGGGCCACTTGCTGGACACATTCCCAGTGTCTGGGGGCCAGAAGATGGCGCTATAGCCTCTTGATCCTCATTGTCACCTCCAGATTATTGCTGATCCATCCTCTTGTGAAAAAAACAAAGTATCTGCCCCTCCCTGCTTCATGAGACCTAACTCCAGCCCTTCCTCATCCTCACTGCTGTTTACCAACAACTTCTCTGCTATTCTTATTCATTGAAGATGGTGACTCGTAGCCATGCCTTCCCTTCTTCTTCAAGATCTGCCATCATCTACAGTGATTGTGATCTTCATCCTCTCAGTTCCTTAAGCTCCATGTTTCCAACGACTTTTGCCTCCATTCCACCTAAAGTCACCCACTCCATGGCCAGCTCTACCTTCGAAAGACCTCATTCAAACATCAAGTAGGTGAAAGCACATCCAACCTTGCTGGGTATTTAACTACTTTCTAAGACTGTTCTTCTACCTTATTAGAACTTCCACTCTCTTTGCCCCTTTCCTTCTTTGCATTCTATCTGCACCCTTATGCCATCTACCACATCTTTATCCAGCTTGAATGTAGAAGTCCATCATTTCAATAACATTCTGATCAATACTCCTTGTTATGTTATTGAATCATGTGCACCTCTGTCTTTTAACAGTCAAAGGTTGATACTGCCCGCAGGTCAAGTTCATCTCTGGTCTAAGTATTCAAGACCAGTGGGGCTGTGGGAAGGATGATTCCTATCACTGGACTTTCAGATGCAAGACTCAACCAGGGAAGAACTTTCTCTTTGCCAAAGAAAAAGGACAGAGGAAAAGCACAAGTGTATTGTCACTAGCCAGGCCTACCTCAGGTTTTTTTTTTTTTTTTTTTTTTAGATATAATTTATATAAAACAAAACTTGTCCTTTTGAAATGTACAGTTCAATATGTTTTACACACAGTCATGTAACCATCACCACAATCAAGATTCATCAGTTCAGAAAGTTCCCCTCTGTGTTCCTTTTTGATCACTCTAGATCTTAGTAACCAATGATTTGTTCTCTGTTCCTATATTCTTGCCTATAAATGTCACACAAATGAAATCACATGGTATGTAGCTTTGGGGTTTTGGAGTTTTGTTTCTTTTGCTTAGGATAATGCCTTGAAATGCATCCACATTGTTCTGTGTATCAGTAAAACTGCTTCTTTTCATTGCCGAGTAGCATTTCATAGTGTGAATGTATCATTTGTTCATTCATTCCTCAGTCGGTGGACATTTGGGTTATTTTCAGGTTTTGGTTAGTTTGAATAAGACTGGTAAATATTTATGCACAAGTAAATATTTATGCACTGTAAATATATATGCACAAACAGTGTGGACCTGTTTTTATTTTTCTTGGGCGAATACCTACAAGTGGAAGTGCTAGTGATGTGGCAGATTCATCTTTAACTTTATGTGAAACTACCAAGCTTTTCCTATTAGCAATATACGATGTATTCCAGTTGCTCCACACATCCTCACCAACTATTGTTTTCATCAGTCTTTTAAATTTCAACCATTCTTAGTAGTATCTCATACGAGATAGTAGTATCTTATTGTGGTTTTTATGTATTTCTCGCTGATGATTAATAATGTTGAACATCTTTTCATGTGCTTAAGTTAACCTAGATATCTGATTCAGGATATGCAGTCCAAAATGACCTCTAGCCTCTAACCACATCAGCTTTTCTGGGTATAAGTCAAGTCCTCTCCAGTCCTGGAAATATTTGGCCAGGGAGCCCCCTGAGCCTCCAAACACTCTCTGAGCTAAACTGGGCAGTAAAACCCAGGAAGTGAACCTGCTTGGAGGATTGGCTAAAGGCACTGACTTGTCTTGCAGGGCACTCAAGAAAAATCTTAACTCACTTCCTCCAGTGATACACACAACAAGCTGGTAGAAGGGCAAAGCCTAATGGAGCTCTTAAACCTAAGCCTTTCCCTACCAATTCAAGGTACAAATCCCACTCCTTTGAGTTCCCAGACATAAAAGCGTGTCACTGGCTCTCTACTTGAACAGAAAACCTCTATGGGTTTTGAGGGGATGCTGAGGTCCACATCAGGATACCAGGGATTCTGGACTGACTCACCTGTCTGTGCAAGCTGATGAATTTCCGAGGGTCCCCATCAGCCCAGGGAGGGAGTTGCACGTCCCCCAGTGCTGTCCCGTCCTGCATGCAGCCTGCATGGGATGAGAAACAGCAGAGATTTGGGTAAGTGGGAGCCCAAGCTGGGCTAGGAACTGGGGAATGTCAAGACTCTACTGTCCAGAGTTGTTGATTTTGTGTAGCTTAGAGTGTGAGTTGTGTCCTTTGTGGGCCACACCGCTTCCAGTCTCCTCTGTTTGAAATGTCCCCTATCCTCATTGGCTTGGCCTCTAAGCCTATGTCTCCTCCACGGGGCCCCTCTTGCTTCCCAGGAAGTGTTAGTGCTTGATTCATAAGAGTACAGAATGATTTTAGTGTCATAATTTTTAGCACTCTTCCTCCCCACCACACTCTGCCTTTTCATTTGGGTGCTTTTTATATAGCATCCAAACAATAAGGAGGTGCAATGATGATACACAAGCTATTGCATTCTCAGCACCTAATTCCACATTAGGCACCATGCTAGGTTCCGGGCACATATCAGATTACTGAATCGTCATTCTAACTCTACAATTTGTGCATATTGTCTCCATTTTTAAAGTGGGGACAGCAAGATTTTTAGATGGAGATTCTCCAAACAGTAGAAAGAGGAGCCTGAATTCCAGCCCAAGTTTCTCTCCGCCCCATCAGCTATCCAACCCTGAGCAGGTTACTCCACTTCTTTGGGATTCATCCTCTCAAAAGTAGGAATGGATTGATTACAGGAGTTACCTTATGGGGGCTGGTAGAAGGACTGAAAGAGATAATACACAAATTGTGTTTAGAATAATACCAGGCATATAATGGTTGCTCAATAAACGAAAGTTATAGTCTTGCTCGAACCCTCCAGAACATCCATGGAGAAACTAGAATAAGAGCTTCCCCTACTCTCCCTGGCCTGTAGGGCTGTGCCTGGCCTGGCCCTTCTCATCACTCAGTCTCAGCTCACCTGTTATATCTTTGTCCGGTCCTTCCTGGGGACCAGAGTAACACAGGTGGTACCGAGTCACTTTGAAACCACTTTCTTACCTATAGACCTAATAGGACTTCTCAGCATCCAACAGTGTTTCACTTACAATACAGAAATTATCTATATTTTCTATCCCCTCTCCCCCACTTCCACTTAGAATGTAAACATCTTTACGACAATTCATTCCAGGAAATCCAACAATATCCCCAGTGCCTTAAAAAGCACCTGCATACCATAAGTGCTTGGTAACCACTTGTTCTCCTGACTTCCTGGAGGACCTACTCTTTTGGCCTCCATTGCTGATATGAACCATTATGTCTACAGCGAACTCATCATACCTCCCATAGAGAGCCTGGCTTCATTTCCAAGACTGAGTGGGTACTCCGGCCTGCACTCTGATCCCAGGCTGGTTAGTTGCCCTTCCTCCTGTCTTCCATTCTCCTTTACTGACTTCTGCTATAAGCCGTGACATGCTTTGTGGGAACTGACCTTTGGATTTGTCCAGTTCTCACCCCTGACACATGGGAGACTTCTGGCAGTTTGAACACCAACTTTCATGGTTCAGATTTATGGGACCTGGCTCACTCACTGATGTGCTCTACAGAGATCTCGGTTGCATATCCAGGGCTGAAGACCATTGCACAAGATTTTACAGGGTTTTACACCAGTGATTCCTGGAGGCTATACCTATATGTGCTGCTTGGAGGAAGAAGGAGAATGCCAAATAAGCTGGGGTTCTGGGTCCTGTGTCACTGACAGCTCATGAGTGCTCTCTCCTTTGGGTGACTCTCAGCCAGGCCAAGGTCCACCACTGCACCTTGCCTATACCTTGCTCAGGCTCTGACCGAACATTCCCTCTGCAAATTGTCCTATTTCAGCCTTACATACATATACAGTGAAGGCTCTGAGGTATACACACAGTCACCAAGGGATTTGCCCATGGGACTTCCTGAATTGTTTATACCTCCTCCAAAGCAGTAAGAAGGCCTGGCTCAAGCTGTGAAGGAAAAAGAAGGAGCCACCACAAGTGCCTGTAAAAACTTCCCTGGGACCCAACCCAACAATCTGCCCCAAGAAACCACTCTCAGAGTTCAGGGTAATCTATTTGTGGGACGTGGAAGGAATGGGGCTGGTGAGGGGCAGGGGTTTGCCCAGGGCAGTGCCAGGCCTGGGCTGCTAGCAAAGGCTCCTGCTCTCTGGCAGCCACCTTACTGCTGACTCACACCTGGGACCCTCATAGGAAAAGTCATGGGTTGGCTCAGCGCTGTCCTGACAGCCCAGGGCCCAGCGGTCTTCCTTAGCATGTACAGTGAAGGCTCTGAGGTATACACACAGTCAGGTGCTGCTACCCAGTTAAAGACTCCTCCAACTGCAGGAATCCTGGGAAGGGCCTAGCAAAGGTGTTGATGAGTTAGTCACAACCCAAGTCCTGTGGAAAAGAACATTCTACACTCCCATCCACCCCTGGCCTCACTCAGACCTGCACTCACCGAACTTCACAGAGTTGCAGTTGATAAGGAACTCAGGCAGGTAGAAGAACTCCGGGGTTAGCTCCCTGACATCACTCATGTTTTCTCTGGAGGCAGATTCCCATGTGCTCCTCACACTGTGGAACATTCTATCTGCCACATCGAAGCTTCCGCCCTGTTGTAAAAGGACCAACATAATCAGCCACATACACTTGAGACGCCAAGCTGCCCAGGCCACTATCCAGTCTGCCTCAGAGGCACAGGTTGCACCATTAGAACTTTCCATTTGCTCTCCCCACACACATTCATTTATCAGCCCACATATGCATGTCATGGTTCTCTCTGCATCAGTTCACTCCATCACTCTCTGGAAACTTGCACCAGAGCTTCAAGGGAAGATGCATGATCAGTGGTAACTAAGGAATCTATGATTTCTCATTGTGAAAGTCTGAGTTTAGATCAAGGAATGAAAACCATCGTATTCATTTGACCATTGCCTGAGTTTGTTGAGGGCCAGTTCTGAATCAGGCACTTTACACAAGGCAGCGAGAATGAGAATGACTGTGATTAGGCTCTTGAGCAGTTCACAGTGGAAATGAAGAGCCATCTGTAGGACCAAGAAGTGAGTCAGACATTATATGTGGGAAGTTTCCTTGAAAGCGAGTGAGGTGAGTCTGGAAGTCTGGAAGTCTGCTGATAGGAAAGCCAGCAGAGTGTCCTGAGGAGAGGGCAAGGTCTTGGCAAGAAGCAGAGGTGGGAGGGGAGCAAGAAGCAGAGGGAGGAGGGCTGGTTAAGTCAGGGCCCTGGTGACATCTAACACAGAGCAAGAGGCATTCAGTGGTCTCAGCCTTGACAAGAAAGAATAGATCTGAAGATGGAGAGCTGGAAGAATGTTAGCATTTAAGGGGCAGAAGGCTGGTCCATGAAGGACAAGGGGCTGGACAGGTAAGACTTCAGACTAATTATTTCCTTGAATATTTCTTGGATACCCTGACCCTGTCATATGAATTGTCAAATCTCTTCAGTTGATGGTACCGTTGTTTACCAGGTAGTCTTGGAGCTTGGGAGAGGGCAGATGGGTGCCTCAGACCAGGTCCCAGTTGGAGGAATGAAGATGCTGGGGACAGAGGGACTTCAGGATAGTTTCTGAAACTTGTCCTTGGGTCTACTTAAGTTTGGGGACATCTCAAGAACATTCTTCTCCCCAGAAGTTGATAGCTCACTTGTTGCCAGCAAGGGTAGGCCTTTGTTTAACAAAAACCTGGCTTTCTTCTGCCTTTCTCTGCAGAGCACACATGTAACCTCAAGAACATAGGGCAGAGCCGAGCATGGCAGTGTCTCCTTGGTGCCTGTCTGCTCCCTTCACTGAGGCTCAGAGGGCTGAGGATTCCCATTAGCATTCGCCCAAGGAAGCTGTTAGGCAGCTTCAGGGGTGAATGAAGGATAAAGAAGGACAAGAGCCTCCTCTTAGCTTGTCTGATCTATGCCCAGGTGACCTCTCTTAATCCTCACAGTCAGTGCATCAGGAAGAAATTGGTATTTCCACTTGCAGACCAGAAAACTGAGGCTCTTCAAAGTGTCCTGATTTTCCCAAGGCTGGCAAAGCAGTGGATGGCAGAATGGGGGATCGAACCCATGACACAGCTCCAAAGGGCATGTTTTGCCCCATTCCAGTTTCTTGGGGGAATCCCTGGACCTGAGACAAGCTTGATCTACTGTGTGTGGGCAAAGGGGAGGACATAGCTCTTTCTGAGAGGGGAGGACCTGCCACATACCCAATGCAGTCACACCTGAGCATCCTGGTGGGAATAGACTATCTGGTTCATTTTCCAAGTCAGACCTGAGAATCGAGTGAGATCCATAGGTCACTCTCCACATAAGGGCAAGGACACTCGGAGACCCAGTTTACCCAAGGGACTGCAACTAAACACAGTACATGGGCAGTGTAAAGATGTGACTTTTCCCTAAGGTCACTTTGAAATTAGGGGAGGACGTTCACTATCAAACTGAAATGAAAATAAAATGAAGGGTGTCTAAATAAATCTACACCCAATGAGTTGAGTCACTCATTGAAATGTATTAAGAGCTTTGTGTATTTAATCTGCAGCCTGAGTCTTACATCCGCAGGAGATTGATGCTGTCTTCCCGTCCCATTTCCCTTTTGCAGCTTTTATGAGTGCTGATGGTAATCTCCTGAGAAACAATATGATTTGGTAATAAAAAGATTACCTGTATTAAATAAAAATAATATATACATACGAAATATTGTTAGTGCTACAAATCTGGTTAAAGATATTACCAGAAAGAAAAATGTTATTTTTTTCACAGCTGTCTAATGCATTTTAGCAAAAGTAATATCTTTAAAACTTAAACCTGTATTATTTATAAAGGAAGCAATAACTGATTTTCCTATTTCCTATATTAATAAATGTATTTGCATACATTTGCTTCAAAATTAATGGGTTATCTCACTTCTGCGATACAAAAGAAAACAGCAAATTCCCTAGAAGAAAAGTGGAGTTGCTTTGTGACTTGTAAGTCTGTGGGTTGACATAAACTATGGTGGCTGCCGGCGAATAGTCCCAGCTAGCATATGATTCTCAGGAAAGGAAGGAAGGAGAAAAGGAAGAGACAATAGAATGAAGGAGGGGCAAGAAGGTGAGAGGCAGAAAGACCCAGAGAAGGTTTACAGAGTGACTACCTAAGAAAAGTCCAAACCCAAATGAAAGAAAACAATAACGAAATTAAGTATGGAAATTAGAAGAAAACAAAAGTGATCAGGGAAAATTACTGAACCAAGAGCTAGTCCTCAAACTGTTATGTATATATTCTTGAATATCAAGAATAATGAATCCCATGTGTATCAAAATGGGCTGAAAAAAATAGCAAGATTATTACTGTCAACAAATGAACAACTTCTTATTGGAAGATTTTCCCAGGTGACATTTAGGCCAGAAGACAACAGAGCCAAGCCAAGGTTAGAAGGTTCTGAGGCAAAAAGTTATGGCCTTTGGATTTTATGCTCAGTTAAGACATCACCCATATACATAGATTCCAGAGACATATTTTGAATAGTTAAGGGTTCAGAAATAATATAACCTTTGGTATCATTCCTTAGTTAAAATCTTTTAAGAGATGCTCGATGTTGGTAAGAGATAAATCTAAATTAAGAGTAAAATAATGAGAACAGAAATGGCTGACAAGGACTGTTGCTGGACTTTGCCCTGAGTTAAAATCAGGGGAAAGTTCGTAATAATAGTACAGCAGTTAAAACTGGAAAACTCTGAAAAGGAATGCTCCATATTAAAGGCAATGTTCCTTTCATTTGCGGACACAAAGCCTAAATGCACCATCGTCCTTGGATAAACATTTTAATTGCTATATTCCTCCCCTCTCTAACATGGCCAGGGAAGTATGTCAGAAAAACATTCAATTCTTGACCCACACTCACAGGAAATTCAGTAACTGCATGTGCTGAAGGATACCCAAATGCACAGATATTTTATGCTAGAAAGTCTATTCTTTCTTCCAAATGAGACTGACCTAAATCAACCCTCTACCACATCTTGATAATGAGATTGGTTTTATGAGCAGGTTGACAAACCATTCTCACAGTAGATACTCTTTCCAGTAATTTCACTTACAGGACCCTGTTGTACATCAGTTGGTCTAAACCACTGCCCTCTGTCCATCAGGGTGGCAGTGTGCAATGATGAAAAGCACACTGGCTTCAGAACCAGGAAAACTTAGGTGGGGATTTCAGTGCCCATGAATTTGCAGGATGAACATAAGTAAGTTTCTTAATCTCTTGGATGATTGCTTTGGGTACAAAAACAATAATGTGCCTGTGTATGTGAGTGTGTGTGTTAGTGTCATGCAATAAACTAGGCACACAGAAAGAAGGGTCAAGTGAACCAGTTGCTATGTGTTTTCTTCACACAGATCAGGAACTGGGAGAAATCCTGGTCTTGAATCCCGTTCTCAGTGTGCATGGGGAAGGCAACCAGTGGCTCAAAAACAGAAAAAGAAAGAGGAGATGAAAGTTATTGAGGGAGGGAGGTGGGCATGGGGGCAAGTAAGGCATGGTGGGGTCCTCCAGTGCCTGAGACAGGGACAGGAGGGTGGGGAAAGGAGAGCACACTGTCCAAGCAGCTTTGAGGTAACAACACTACCAGAAAAATAAAGGTGCAAATGTGTGAGGGTAAGAGAGGGCTGGACTCATCATTCTCTGGTCCTTCTGCAGGAAAATGCCAGGCCTTAACATCCTACTAATAAGCTAAAGGCATGAGTCCCATGGGGCATTTAGGAAGACTATGTACTAATCCAGCTGTCTATGCGGTGTTGTTCTTGATGGAGGATGGGATGACCCTAGAATAGCCACTAGTTTTCTTCCTACTGGATATGGCCCTTTACTAAAGCAGTAAACCCACAAAGGCATGCTGAAACCCACACTGTCTACATTAGAAGGAGGGAAGCAGACATTTATGAAGCACCCAGAAACAATCAGTTTCATGCTGTATCTCTTTTAGTCCTCACCACCCAACCACTCGGGGCTTATTTTAAAGAATGGAGAGACTAAGGTTCAGTTATTCAACCTGTCCATTAGAAAGTTATAGAGCCCAGAGTTTATTCCAGGACTGTCTGACTCTATTATACGTGCCTTTTCTAATACTCCTTATTGAATCTCTATAATAACTACACAACACTGTAGACCCTGAAGGATTCTCATGAAGCCACATTTCAAACCCAAACACTCTGCCCTGACTCAGGCACTGGCTTCTTAAGCTGGGTACCTACCAGGAACTCCCAGGTAAACAATTAGAATGGGCGAAGTGCTACCCCATGGTTCTCTGTTCTCTCTGCAGTTAGCGTCTGTCTTACACAAAACCAGTCATCTCGCCTCAGGTGGTGCAGAAAACTCTTCCCCACTGCTGGTAACAGCTGACTTCACATGGGCTGTGACTTAATTAACACAGCACTTTATTTCTGTTTCTTATTAAATGCAGCAGCAGCCACCACTGCTGTGTCCACGCTGGGCACCGGCTGCCTTGCTGGGCCCCACCTAGGCTGGGTCTGATCTCAGGCCTGAGAGCAACTGGTACTTTTGCTGGGGCAGAAACAGGTGCCTGAGCTGGGGTCCTAGCAAGGGCTTGGCCTCCTGGTGACTTGACTTTC